CGAACCTGCTTTTAAAATTCGTCCTAAAGCCGCCTGTATCGGCGGCGGACAAACCTCCCTGTAGTACACCTCCCGGCCGCACATACGCTCGCGCGCCTCCAGCCGCCTCCGCCGCCTTCACCACCCCCCGAACACCTCCCGCCGCGACTTTTTCGCGACGCGAGGGGGTCTGGGCACGGCGGATGGAGGGCAGGCGGGGGGGGGAGAGGACAGCGCGGGAGCGAGAGCAGGTGGCGCTCCTGGCGCCGCCTCGCTTGGAGTGCCGAGCCCCCCCCCCCTTCCTCCCTCTCGGGCACCGCGTTCCCATGGTTGGGGCTGGTACCTCAGGCCTCACCTCTCTCCCTTTCCCAGTCGGAGGGCAAACAGGAGGATGGGAGGAGGAGGAGGAGGAGGAGGAGGAGGAGGAGGAGGAGGAGGAGGAGGAGGAGGAGAAGGAAGAGAAGGAGGAGTAGGAGGAGAAGGAGGAGGATTTTTATTGCTTTGAGTGCCCTCATGACAGAACGCACAACATGCGGCCTTCGGCCGATCCAGCTGCTCGAGCAGCCGCCTCGCGTTGACGAATCCTCTCCGCCAAGGCCGTCACTCCAGGTGTGGGCATGGGGTCTACACGAGAGGATTGCGAGGAGGCTGGGCCCTTATGCGCTGCCTTCAGCAGCACATACTTGGCCGAAACACGACAAGTGGTGCCAGAACCAGCAGCAACCGTCACACGAGCTCTGTAGTGAGGGTGCAGGCCATGGCGAATTCGATCCAGGGCTCCTTCGCCACACGGTCTAAGGGTCCCCGAACAAGAGCCTCCGAGCTTGAAGCAACGCTTACTCATGTAGGCCCCACAACGAACAAAAACAGAAAAGGAGCGCACACGCCATCCTGAAGGATATTGCTACACACCAGGTGACATCGCTTGCTTTCAGCACCTTGGCAACGACGGAGGGCCTTGAGCATACCTTGACACCCCGCCAACGGCCTTTCGTCACCACCGAGCATCGTGTTATAACGCCTACTGCACCGATGCGTGCTAATGGTCTCCTCGACCCCAAGATCCAGGAGCACCCAATCGTGCCACTCCGGGGCCCGAAAAGTCCGAGACCGCACCCTAAGACCAGATGAAACCCGAAGGAAGGACATGTTCGGAAAACAAGACAGCACAGCATCGAACATCTTTACAAGCTTGTGCACACGATGAACGTATAAACCGAAGGACTCCAGAACCTCCGAAGTGGGGTCAGGGTGCAGTGTGAGCGCGTGTTTGGCCAACCTATCAGCGTCAGCGGTTCCCAACGGAATGCGACGCTCCAAAATCGGCGGGGCCCAAATCAGTTTCTCCGACCTATGGGCTGGAGAGTATGACGCTGGTCCTGCAAGGCCCTCGGGGTCACGCTCGTGAGCAAGCCTAGGAAGGCCTTCGACCATCTGCTTGGCACTTAATTGGTCCCTCACACGCGCACTATGGAGACGCACCGCGCCAGCACAGTCGCTATGAGGTGAGCTGCGAGTGTTGTCTGCCAGGCAGCACAAGGTAGCTATGCCGAGGTGCTCAACGGACTGCGGAATCCGAAACAGCATGGGCCAGACCGTGCCAGTTAGTCGGGCCCTGGTCACATACTCAGGTCCAGGCGCTAAGTACACAGCCCCATCAACCGCCCGCTGGAACTCCTGAAACACCTGCTGAGAAGCCGGTCAGTCCACAACTTGCTCACAGCCTCTGGTGAGCTACGAACACTCCTCAACCTTAATCTCTAGGCCTTCAGCATTCTGGAGGATGGGGGCGAGGTTACACGAGGGAGGCGGGACATCGTGCTGAGGCAAGATGAGGCGGGACTAGAAAGAACGCTTATGCTGCGTAGCAGCCCTAGCAGTGTCTATGTCTTCCTGAATGACATGCTCCAGGCGCCGCTCAACCACAGTGGGGTCAGTGCAAGCCAATTGCCGATGGAACGAGAAGTCGGGCTCACCACACAACTCACACACACACACACCGTCGTGCACGTACCCGCTCGAGGCGAGCCTGTCTACAGTCCAGACGGCACCCCCAACAGTTGCAGAGATCCAATACTTCTGCCTAGGCGCGACGTTCTTTGACATGAAAAATTGAACGATGGGGTCGGGACACACGTGCTGCGCATCGAAATCACCTAGATCCCTTGCCATCTTTTGCTCGAGTGCCTGTTGCACTCCAGCCTCTCCAGCTGCATGGCGACGAGAGCGGGAGAGGAGTATATGAGGTCAACCACGATGTCGCGGTCACTTCTCCACTGCGCAAAATTATCCGCGCGCCATCCGATGCGGTGGAGGGAGAAAAGCATTATGTGCATGGGGCCGCGCGAATTGCGCCTCTGCTCATGGCCCAGCTCAGGGAGTGTCGACATGAGGGCACGCCAGAGTCTGATGTCGTCCCTGAGCGAGAAATGGCTACACTGGGGCTCCGTGATGCTCCGCCAGAGGCTGTTGGACTACTGCAGGGTTGGTGCAACAGATTGGCGCCACGTGGGGTCCCCATGGAGCACACATTTGGCCGTGAGGCTAGCACCGCGGTGATCAGGAGTGGAGGAGGAGGAGGAGGAAGAGAAGGAGGAAGAGGAGGAGGAGGAGGAGGAGGAGGAGGAGGAGGAGGAGGAGGAGGAGGAGGAGGAGGAGGAGGAGGAGGAGGGAGGAGAGGCGGCAGGAGGAGGGGGAGCACGGGGAAGATCATAGGGGAAGAACAGGAGCACGGGGAAGTGCAACAGCGTGGGGAAGAGCAGGGGGAGAGGGGTGGTGAGCATGGGGAACAGAAAAGGATGCAACAGGCCCTGAATGCCACGGCCTAAATTAACGATTCACGCTGCAAGGGCCCGGCGCTTCTGGCGGGCGCGAGAATGCCAGCCTGCGAGCGCCCCCCCCTTCCAGGAGGAGCTGAAGGAGAGGAGGGAGCGGAAGAAAGGAAGGAGGGAGCGAAGGGAGGAGTGGAGGGAGAGGGGATGCGGAGGAGGGAGCGGAGAAGAGAGAGAGAGAGAGAGGACAGAGGACGAGGAGGTTTCCACTGGCTTTCGTGTGCGTTTAGACGCTCTCCGTGCGTTTCTGAATGTATGGGAGGAGGGGGGAGCGATGAAGAGTAGGGACAGACGGAAGATGAGAGGAGAAGAAGGAAAGAGGACAGACGAGAAGAGAGGAGGATGAGGGCGAGCGGAGGAAACGGAGGGGAGCAAGGAAGAGGGGGACGGAGGAGAGGAGACGAGGAACAGAAACGAGTGGAGGGGGAGGGGGCAAGGCGTGAGGGAGGGAGGATGCGGAAGAAGATGGGGGGGCGACTTACCAGGCCTGGCGCTTGAAAAGAAAAAAAAACAAACGCTCGGACGCCCCGACCTCCCCCGCCCGACCAGCCACCCCTGGGGGAGCTGTGCTCCCTACCGAACTCGCCGCACCGAGCATCTCCCGAGAGGGGCGCCGAAACCGATAGGGGGTGGGGTGCCCGCGGCTTGCCGTCGCTCGGACGTCCATTTCCCGTGCATGTCTCGGTTTCGTGCGCGTTTGTTTTGCTCGATGGTCCAGGATGGTCCTCGATGGTTTCGCTGGGAAAGAATGCACACGTCCGAGCGATGCCACGGCGGGGATTCCTGGATCGGCGCTGGACCTCCTTCCCCTGGCGCGCGGAGCGCGCCAGGGCGGGCCTGAGAATGCCGCCACGGGGCTCCAGCGCCAACCCAAGACAGATCCGCGCTGAGCTGCGACAGTGCGGGCTTGTGCTTAAAGAGGCCACAGGACACACAAATAAATGCACAACAAAAAACAGATCCCATATTATCCCATACTTTCAGGGTTTGTGTCTTCCCCCCCGCTTCCCATATTTTCCCATATTCTCTGGGGAATCGACGATTAATTGTGTCTGTGTGCTTCTTTCCCTCCTGAGTGCTGCTCTTTGCTCGTCGTCGACTCGTGCTCCTGTCCTCCCTCACCGCTCTTGAGGGCAGGAGCGCCCAGAACCGAATCGGTCGGTCGCATCGGCGATGGAAGCGAAGCGGGTCGGCGGACATCGGCAGCCAAGTCGGGAGGAGTCGGATGGGCGGACATCGGCAGGCTAGCTTGCCTCCAACGAGAGAAGTCGTAACCCAAATCGGAGTCCCAAGTCGAATCGAATCGGAATCGGAAGCCATCGAGGTCGAATCGAGTCGAATCGGAGGAGCCGAAACGAGCCCAGCTGAAGGCCCCGACAACGGGCGGGGTGATGGGTCCCGACGTGCCCGAGAGCAGCAGCGGGCCAGAGCATTCTCCGTTCTTCCCGCGCTGCCCCTCTACAGCTGGCGAAACCCTGCTGTGCAATGCCCTGGCAGGAGAGGCCAACATCCAATCGGAAGATCAGATCGAATCGGAACGTGCATCGGGTCGGGCTGCACCGGCACGGAATCGGACTCGGATCGGACTCGGATCGGATCGGCCCCGCCAGGGTGCACAGAAAGGCTAAACCAACATCTGGCCATGTATCGGCACGTCGGAAACACATCGGGTCGAGCTGACCGATATCGATATCGAACCGTATTGATCGGATGATTGTCCAAGAATCTCCCGGCGCCGGTCTGCCGAGACCTCTGACGCCGTGCTGTTTGCGCGATGTCGAGTCCCTACGATCTGGACCCTTTCCCTGGCACCCGCGCTGAGTCCTGCTGCGCTGTCTTGTGATAGTCCTGGGGCCCGGTAGTGTCCCCAGAGGCTGGAAATGACCACGCTCCCATCGTGCTCCTGGTCGCGACGCCAGGGAATCGGGGTGATGCTCCTTCCTCCCGAATCGCCTGCCAACCCGCCCCCGCTGCGGCCAGCCTGGCCAAGGGCGCCGGCAATGCCGGCCCAGCCGCCGTGCCAAAGGGCCCCACGGTGCCCTTCCGGACCCCGCTCGGCATCCGGGCCCATTCGGCTCGGGCTCGGATCGCAGGTCCGTCTGGCAGCCGAAAGGAGCGCCGAAGAGGCTCGGAATACACCCCTGCTCATGGGGCGCCCTCAGGGCGGGTGCATCCCGCGCGGGCTCAGGCTCAGAAGTCCATGGCACCCGCCCTCCTGAAGGGGAGGCGCCAATGACACGCCTCTCCAAGGGTCAGGAGCAGTGGGCAACAAATGAGGTGTGGAGGCGCTGAAGTAGATTGGAACTCCACCCGCCCCCTGAAGACGAAAGACATGGGAACCCGCTCGACCCTTGAAATAGGCAGGCGCCTCAAGTGGATTGGAAGATGGGGCTCCACATTCGACTACTGAGAACGACGCGTGTGCACACCGATCCTTGCCAGGCCCACCCTCGGCCGCGGATCGGTGCGAACTCACAGTCGCTTGGCGCCCTCGGATCCTGCCCTGGAACGCCGCCTTGCGGCACTTGAGCTTCTCGCGCTGCCTGCGCTTCTTCTCGCCCGGCTCGCACAGGTGACAGAACTGGCACAACGGCCCGTCCGCGCAGCCCTTGCTGTGCACGAAGGCGCAGGGCTTGCAGTGCCCCGCGCCGTGGTGCGCGGAGCCGACGCTGGGCAGCTCCTCGCAGACACACACACACACAGGCTGCGAAAGACGGGCACACACGTACCCACCACATGCAGACAAACAGATAGACAAACAGACACACGGACAGACAGACGCACTTTTCCATCGGCGGCGAGGCAGAGTCGGCTGCACCAGCGCAGAAGCTAGACGGGGGGCACCGAAAAGCGAATTGTGCCAGCATGCAAAAAGGGAAACGGCAGACAGGGCGGCCGCGGGGGGGGGGGAGAAACAAGGCCACTCAGGGGCGGAAGAGTTCTCGCGAGAGTGGGCTGGCGCGGCCAGCCTCACACACACAACACTCACACTCACACTCACACTCACACTCGCACTCACACTCACACTCGCACTCACACTCACACTCACATTCACATTCACATTCACACACAATCAAACACAAACACAAACACACACACACACACACACACACACACACGCGCACACACACACACACACACACACACACCCCACGCACGCACGCACGCACGCACGCACGCACGCAACACGCACACACACACACACAAACACAACACAACACAACACACACACAACACAACACACAACACAACAACACAACACAACACAACACAACACAACACAACACAACACAACACAACACACACACATACACACACGCACGCACGCACCACACACACACACCCACACCCACACCCACACCCACACCCACACCCACACCCACCCACACCCACCTACACCCACCACACCCACACCCCACACCCCACACCCACCCCAACACCCACACCCACACCCACACCCACACCCACACCCACACACACAACACACACAACACACACACACACACGCACACACACACACACGCACACACACACCACACACACCGACATACACACAGAAACACACGTAGGCAGACACATGCACACACACCGACATACACACAGAAACACATAGGCAGACACATGCACACGTACGCCCAGCATGAACGATTGCTGCTGCTACCTCCATCCCACATGCTCGCGGTGGTTGCTGCTGTTTCAGATCTCAGAACAAGCATGCACGCATTATCTGGCGGCACTCAGGTCATAACGCAATCGTGCACACTGAGTGCGATGCGGACCTTCCAGCAGTTCGAACATAAACAAAAGCACACAACGGTGTGACGTCGCCGTCGCCGTCGTCGCCTCCGTCACCGTTGCCGCCGTGGCCGTCTCGGTCGCAACTCCCGCCGCTCTCGCCGTCGCCCTCGCTGGCGCCGTCGCCGCCGTCGCCTTCGCCGCGCCGCCGCCGCCGTCGCCGCCACCGCCATCGCCGAAGTCGCCATTGCCATCGTCGTTGCGGCACCTTCGTCGGCGCCGTCGTCGTCGCCGGCGTCGCCACCGTCGCCACCGTTGCCGTCGTTGTCACCGCTAGCGTCGTCGTCGTCGCCGCCGTACTCGCCGTTGCCGTCGCCGCGGTCTGGCCACACTTTCTCACTGCCAAAATATTTGACTCACGGTTGCCAGGCATCGTTACGGAAACCGCCGGGGAAACCTACAGCGATTGTGCTGCAATGAAGAGCGCTGAAGGAAGAAAGAGCGGGCTTTTGTGGCCACGGCGAGCCTCGGCCACGAAGAGCTACCCCGACCTAGACCTGGGGAGCGGCCCGCAAGTTAGAGCCTCTCCTGAGCCCAAGGCGGCCCTTATCTTGTATTGCTTCAGCGTCTTGAGCGTATGGAGGCGAGAGCACAGCAGAACGAGGACCCCTCCTCTTCGTGCCTGAGCCTCCGAGCCAGATGCGCTTCGCTGCGCACGGGGGGGCTTCGTTCTTCTAACCTCCTTCCCGCCTCGCTGCCACGAGACTCCCATATCGAAGGATCCGGGAAGGCATTCATGGTTCATTCCTGGGTCTGCTTATCATCGCCGCCGCGTAAGAAGCACCGACACCATATGATCGCCACCGCACTCACGCTTCTGAACCCGAGCCTACAACCCATAGGTGTAGAAATGACAGTACTGGACGAAAACTCTGCTAGGCGCTCCCAACGCGAATCAAATTTGAATGTTTCCTCAATCGCTCAATTGGCGCTTTGGGCCCATGGGTCATCGGCGGTTGCGGTTATGCATTGACGGTGTGTTTGGCTGCCTGCACCTAAACATACCTGATCAATACAACTCGTCTGGACATGGTTTCTGGATGGGCTGGCGAGGGCACGCGAAACGTCAAGAAAAACCATGGACGTCTATCTCCCCATGCCTTCCGTGCGGCAGGTGCCGCCGCGGAGCGGAATTAGCTCTTCTCCGACGTCGCAACTGTTTGGAGACGTGGGGCTCAGCAAGCCTGGACCACATCCCCTGGGCCCTGGGTCGTTACCTTGACCACGATGGAAACCACCGCAACCGCAAGTTCACAAAAAGATTCCAGGACGGGCGCAATCCCAAATTTACATGGCAGCGTTTCGCACTTGCACTCACGGTTCACTCTGCACTGCGCGCAGCGCATGCAATTACACGCGCCTTCGCCTTGCAAACATCACCCCAGGAACCATCTTAATAACACCAAAGGTGACCTGTGGGACCTGCGGGACCTGTGGAACCTGCCGGAATTGGGAGAAATGTTGGGAGCGTGAGCCCTGTGGAACTTGTGGGAGCTGTGCGGGCTGCGGTAGCTGTGGGACCTGAGGGACCTGCGAGACCTGTGGGACCCTTGGGACCTGTGGGACGCGTGGGCCTGGTGGGACCTGTGGGGCCTTCGAAATTGCAAAACTTGTCGTCCCTGCGAGACCTGTGGGACCTGTGGGACCTGCGGGGCTTGCGCCACCTGCGACACCTGCCTGACCTGTCGGACCTGTAGGACCTGAGGGACTCGTAGGACCTGTGGGACCTGCAGGACCTGCGATACCAGTGGGACCTGTGGCGCCTGTGGCACCTGTAGGCCCCGTGGGACCTGCGGAACTTGCGGGGCCTGCGGGACCGGCGCGACATGTGGGACCTGTGGGACCTGTGGGACCGGAGGGGCTGGGTGGACCTGTGGGGCCTGTGGGACCTGTAGGGCCTGAGGGGCCTGTGGGGCATGCGTCGCCTGTGGGACGTGTGGGACATGCGGGACCTGCGCGACCTGCGAAACCTGTGGGACCTGCGGGTCCTGCGGAACCTGCGGGACCTGCGGACCCCGTGGCCCTTGTAGGACCTGTAAGCCCTATCGGGCCTGTGGGACCTGTGGGGCCTTCGGGGCATGTGGGACCTGGGGGGACTGGGACTTGCGGGGCCTGCGGGACTTGCCAGACCTACGAGGCCTGCGGGGCTTGCGGGACTTGTAGGACCTGTGGGACATGTGGGGCATGTGGGACTTGTGGGACATGTGGGATATGCTGGGCCTGCGGGATTTGTGGGACCTGCGCGACCTGCGGGACTTGTGGGACTCGTGGGACCTGTGCTGGCGGCGGGACCTGTCGGACCTGCGGGACCTGTGGGACCCGGGGGGCCTGTGGGACCTGTGGGACCTGAGGGACCTGGGAGACCTGCGGAACCTGTGGGACCTGTGAGAGCTGCGGGACCTGCGGGACATGTGCGACCGGTGGACCTGCGAGAACCTGTGAAACCTGTGGGGTCATTCATACCTGTGGGACCTGTGGCACCTGCGGACCTGCGGGACCTGCGGGTCCTGTGGGACCTGTTGGACCTATGGGTCCTCTGGGACCTACGGGACCTGTGGGAATTGCGGGACATGCGGGACCTGCGAGACCTTTAAAACCTGTAAGACCCGTGGGGCCTGCGGAACCTGTGGGACGTGCGGGACCTGCATGTGGGACCTGTGGGACCTGCGGGGCCTGCGGGGCCTATGGAGTATGCGGGACTGGCGGGTCCTGCGCGACCTGCGAGACCTGTGGGACCTACGGACCCTGTGGATCCTGTGGGGCCTGCGGGACCTGTGGGGCTTGTGGGACCTGTAGGACCTGTGGGACCTGTGGGACCCAGTGGGACCTGCGGGACCTGCGGGGCCTGCGGGGCCTGCGGGACCTGCGAGACCTGCGCGACACGCGGGACCTGCGGAACCTGTGGAACCTATGGGACATGTGAAACATGTGGGACCTGTGGGGCCTGTGGGACCTGTGGGGCCCGCGAGGCCTGTGGGACCCTTGGGACCTGTGGGACGTGTGGGACCTGTAGGACCTGCGAGACCTGTGGGACCTTTGGCACCTTCTTTGCGACTTGTGGGTCCTGTGGGACCTGTAAGACCTGTAGGACCTGTGGGACCTGTGGGACCTGCGGGACCTGTGACACCTGCAAGACCTTGGGACCGGTGGGATCTGTTGGGCCTGAGGGACCTGTGGGACCTGTGGGACCTGCGGGACCTGCGGGACCTCCGGGACCTGTGGCACCTGTGGCACCTGTGCGGCCTGTGGGACCTGCGGGACCTGCGGGACCTGCGGGACCGGCGAGACCTTCGAGACCTGCGGGACCCGTGGGACCTATGGGACCTGTGGGACATCTGGGACACGTGGGACCTGTGGAACCTGTGGGACCTGTGACCGCCGAGGACCCAAGTAAGGCCCTGAATTCTGGGACCGCCAGGCACCCAAGTAAGGACCTTACTTGGGACCCCGGGAATTCCTTATTAAATTTGGTGGATCGACAGATGTCTCGCACTTTGGGACCATCGAGGCCCCCCGGGGGGCATTTATTAAGGAACCAGAAGTTTCCTTACGTCCACCATGTTTTCTTGGAGCGGAAAGACCCAAAGTTCAAACGTCCCGGCGTGGCCGTCGGAGGCCCCCAACCAGCCACCCAGCTTGGAAACGCGCGGCAAATGTTTCGCCGAGGCTGAACGCGACTCTGCTGCCGTCGCCACCGTAGCTGCACTGCATCCGGTGATCCACTGGCCTCAGGGCCCCGAAGAGTAAGCCTCCTAGCGGTGTCCTGACGACCTCCTGGAATCTGGGGGGAGACCGCCGGGGGACCTCCCCTGGTCCTCTTGGGGGCCTCCCGCAAACTTCCAGAAGGGGGCTGGGAGGTCTCCCAGAAGTTTTTTCTGGTCCTTG